TCTTATCGCAAGTAAAAGTACAGAGTATTCATACCATTTACATTTTACTTCTACAACTGAATTATGCTACACTTCTATGAAGATATTATGTATTGCTTTCAAAGTCATGGGCTACAAGCTGTGAACAGAGAACTCTTTACGTTACTTTTGTTTACCTTCAAGGTATTTTAGGAAGTTTTGAGTTTGTATATTACTCCTATAATCTCAAACGACGAATCTATCATTGCATTGATGTCATTTGTTCGTTTCTAAGTCAAGCATGATTGATTTGGTCATAGCCCGGTTTGCTGGACAAATGATATTGGCACGCAGATTTCTCGCACGATATGAGACGCTTAGACTGTAGTTAAAAGAGCTGCCATGTAGCTACCGAAGAATATACACGGACAATCAAAGAAGCTCAACGAACGTAATAAAAACGCATTATGTGTTTTTTGAGTTTTTACTGTGTCAAATACTCTCTTTTTAGTTACGTTGGAATGCCATTCATGGAATCTGAAAGCTCGATTCTTACAACTCATAAAAATCTAATCGAATACAATCTTGTTCGCTTATGTCTATGTTGTTCTAAATGTGAAATGATCTACAAATTATTCATAGAAAATAAACCTGTATGGAGCGCTCTCATAACGCTTATTATAAATTAACTTACTTTGGTGATGAATAACATCTAAAATTTGTTTGTTTTGATGCACAACATGGTGGGAGCGTTTTTTTATCAAAACTTTTTGGTGGAATTTCTGTACTGTGAATTATTTGATGCATATTTTCACGAGTCAAACGGCTATGCACACAGTCAACGGCTCACGTTCTGCCAAGTAAGAACCGCGCTACTAAAAAAACACAACTAGTGATAGCTGATAATAATTGTTTGTGTTTAGGGGAGGAATTAGGAAGGAGACCAGAAACCACTTAAGTTGGGTGGTTAAGAATTAATCGAAACGTCCCGAAAATTTCAAAATATTGTCTCAAAGATTAATTTAACTTATTATTTTGTGTAAGCAATATATTTCCTATTATTCCGTGTTGAATGTTGAAGGTTTTGTGTGTTTGAATTTGGAACTCCTTTCTACGAATGGTCCGTTCCATCACCAGTCTAACCTTTTACATATATACATATATAATGAAACGAGGTTCATGTTTCATATCTATAAGCTTAAAAATGTGTACGTGTTTCATTAAGGTAGACTGATAGAAAAACATCTGTCTAGTTTAGTGACATACTCATCATGCAAGAATGAGGATTTTATTCCAACTATGTGTTTTCATTACATCAAATCCTATGTAGATACACTCTTAGCTCAACTGTCTCAGATCATTTTTGGATGATCGTTACTGAATTATCGAAAATAACTCAAAGACATCAGCACCTAAGAGAGAGTGATTAGTGGTTTAACAAGGGAGCGTGTTAGGGCTTCTTATTCATAAGGTACTAAAGAGACTTTGTAGCTGCTTCAACATGAGGAAGATTTTCTTTCTGCTGGTGAACTAAAGGTAATCAACTCATGCCGCAGATACGATGTAAATAACACCATTAAGTTTATGTAGCAGGAATCATACTGGATGGTAGTATGATATAGAAAGTACCAGCTTCCGTTTGATATTAACGAAGCGTCTGAATCCGTGTTGGAAGCAGGATATTAGTACTCCATTTCGAAGTGGATGGTTTGACAATATCCGAATCTGAAACTATTTTAAACCCTAGTTCATGATACTCAAATAGCATCAATCAGCTCGTATGTAATCCGTACTTTCGTCAAAATTGGACCCAGCTTAATACTATATAAGGTCTGTGTCATCCAGTGCTTGAACACTGTCCGTTTATGCCTGGCAGCCTTCGTATAAGCAACAAGATGGAGATCTAAGGAATATTCTGTTTGTAACAGTACTATTCCCGGGCTGTTGCACCGCCTGATCTTCCGTACCTCTAGGTTGCCCTAGCTCTACTGAAGAAGAAACCAGATTAGTAGTGAATACGTCCTTAATTTTAAGTCCTGGAAAGGTGCGAGACCACCTTTTTAAACACACAAAGCCTTTCATTATCTATTGTGAGAATATGTGATCTCTATACAAAATAAAGAAGTGGATGAATAATTGAGCTTTCTTGTTTAGACATTTACTTGGATGTTTTCAGTCAACTATTAACAAATCTACCTGGGTTGTTACATTAGCTTCCTCCTACAATAGACTTCTGTAGGAACGTTGGTCCAATCAACTTACCCAACAAGAACACCCTCGTTCTATTTCTTCAACTTAGAAGAGAATTAGTAACTTTCAGGCAATAGCGACCAACGCCGTGTAAGTATTCGGCGATACTCCATGACCGAAATATACTTGAGTACCTTTTTACCTTATTTCATAGCAATTCATTTGCACGAATTGTCGCTCATGACTTTCTGAACATGTCCTCTGTATGAGGATCAGAGCTTTTAGGGGAATGTAGGGTAAGAAAACGAAACAAGAATATTTGAGTGGACTACCCAACAACAAGCTGCTTCGGTCAGCTTTCAAATGCTCTGTCCTGATATCAGGTGTTTACTCACCTACCTCTTGGGTCACCCTCAAGTCAAAAACAAAGGAGGCTCTGTAGAGTTATCCGTCATATATTAGTCATTGTTACGATGCAATGAGTTGGTGTAGACAATGACGTGACTTCTACGAAAGATCTTATAAATCAGGCAGTTATATCATAACAAATCTGCAATTTTAGGGTTAAGTCTATCATTAAAGTAATACTAATATCGAAGTAGACCATAATTCTACAAGTCTACTTCGAAGAAGAAAATATTTAAAGTCAGTCAAACCTCAGGAATTGATCCACTATTTGTATAAAATAGTTAGGTACAAAATAGAAAGATACAAATACAAGTGATAAGGGTTCTTTTCTCCATAAGTCTTTGGTTTTCATAACGGATTGGCAATCTTGAAGGAAATAGACACAGTGTAGACATCTTGTGAGCGAAAACGTATTAAAACAGAAATTTCTTTTTCCAAAATATGTGTGTTAATGTGTGAACCCGTCAGAAGTTGAATATACTACCGAACTTGGTCAAATATATGGCTTGAGTCTGAGACAACCGCCTTCTATGATCGGTTCGTAACAAGGAATACAGCAGTGTTTTCTGACAAAGAAAGTTAGAACACATGAATAAGAGAAAATATAAATGCAGAGTCCAAATATCGGGTAGGCTTCTAAGAGTCAGCGACAAAACTGGAGCCTTACAGATCACCAATTGATTGGCTTGATGTAAATATGCATGTTATGGCAAGGATATATTCTATAAATTCACCTAGTAATCGAGTCGGTTTGTACCTTAGAAGTGTGCAAGTTCCACTAGTCATGACTATCGTTAATAATAGACCGATGTAAGGAAATATTGCAGTCAATTCCACTACGGTCCGGTGAGGTCTATTGGTCAAATGAGGGGTCAGTGCTTCTGTTCACAAAACCCATATCCATAACTCGCTGGCTGTAAGTTTTCCGGACATAATAAGTAAATGCAAGGATGCGTTTTTGCACCAAATTATCCTAACAAGTTGCACCGGGACGCATAGTGTTAGCCGGTGGCTGGCCGCTTAAAGCATGAACAGCCCAGATATTTTCTGTTTATAATGATGATAAACAGCACAGCAAGGCTCCGCTTCAGGCCTTCTAAGTTTGAGACTATTTATATGATTGCCTTCTTAATGTCAAGCTTCAGCTGCTGATCTACACTGAAGGCTTCAAAATTGACGAATAATCGACAGAGGCGATGTTTGTGCACTTATGGCTGACCGAAAACTTCTGGTATGCTGGTTTAAACTATGGTTAATGTTTATGAATGAAACCGAATAATTCTGCATACGCACTGAAGAAACATACGTCAGTGACGTTAACATAGCAGATGATACAAAGCATTTAGTGCTATCGTAGAATGATCTGGAGATAATGGTCTTAATAAACAAAGGTCACTGTCATTGAACTGTAATCAAAGGTTTTAAAAATGTATAGAAGTTAGGAAGAGCATTCACTCGTTCATAGATGGACATATCAAGCTAATAAGGTCTAATTAGAAAGTGGAATGCCAGTCAGGATGCCAATTTTCGAAAAGTAGACTCAATTCTCTATAAAATGTGCGGTGGACAAGTGCTGAAATAATTCTCGTGATACGTCTCTAACTATTTACATAACGACTTGAAAAGCTGGGCCTCTATGACTTATATAAGCTCAGAAATTGAAGTAATTTAATTTCTGTGTGTAAAACAAGAAAAAATGACTTTGAATTTGGTGAAACCTCTCTCTTTCTTTTAGCTTGGTCAGAACAAACCAGATGATATATCTGGATGGTTCAAATAGTAAGAGAGATGAGTAACCATAGAATACAGGATTTCTCATCAAGAATTCAGCTTCTGGGCCTCACTGTTAGAAGACTAGGATTTTTGTTATCGTCAACTAATCAAAGAAGATGGATACATGATGGAATTGAAATACATATACTGCTTACTATTTCTTCTGTCCTTCAACTACTACAGTGTTTACTAGATGAACACTACACACATTCATTTATCACACAAGTAAAGCGAAAGAAATGAGATCTGAGGATACAGCAGTACACTTTTTGAAGTATCTGTGTATAAATATTGCCAATGTATAAAATACAGAGATGCAAGAGGATAGGCAACTAACAGAATATGAGTACACAGACAAACACGCACCAAGAACTCACAAATCGTTCAAGGGCAGCAGACAACGATAATCAAGACCAGAAGTGTGGGTGATAGCATAACTGCAAGGATTAGGATAATTTACTCAGGCGTTATAAGATGTCGTCGAAGGTCATTACATGGACCACATATCAAGTCAATTAATTCGGAAGAAAACAAGACATTTGCACAAACTTTCAGGAAAAGGAATAACACAAGTAATCGAGTTTTTTGCGGATAATTGAGATGTACGGGAGTTGAATCTGGATTTTGCCCGTTCATTATTGAGGTTCAGTGTTTGAGCGCCAAATTCTACTGCAAGGTTGTGGAGGCTTTTTGACTTAGTATCCGGAGGTAGATGTCATTTTCTTCTTTCACGTGCAATAAAATTATAAAATGATCTAAGTATGTGATATCAATTTAATAAGTATATAGCACAATCCCATTTGTCTGACTGTTAGCGTTAGGGAACTGCGAAAAATCACGTGGTTAAGTTGGTTAATCGGACTCAATCAGTGTTATATACGGGTCTTGACTTATCGTTATTTGTCTAGCCATTTTATGCAAGTTCAAAGTAATCCTTATTATGCCTTTTCCACCACTTACATAAAAACGTTCGACCCGAACCTCTACATTGCTCTTCACGAGACAACTAACAACGATTCGTACATGAAAGAGCTAATGTCCAAGTAACGTCTCACACTCTTTACTACTTGTCAGCCAACGCGACTATATCCCTCATTGTACAGCTTCAAATGGTGGCTCGTAAACTCTTTTCACACCCATAGCTTGCCGTCCTTCACCTGGAACAGCTATACCTGACGCGTATTATACCTTATCATTACTATATCATAGTCATTATCATTGGTTAACATATGGTCACCTCATCTCATATCAGCTTCATTTATCCGTTATCTTCAGACTTCTGCCTGTTCACATTGTTTGCGTGAACTTATCCTAATCGTTGTCTTCTCTTCTACACAATTTGATCTTATAGTTTTTCGTGTTGCAATTACATAATTTATTGTCCGGTGATATAATAGCTGCTGATCGTAGCAACTCCACTGGCTTAGAACAAACGCACTTATCTATACATACGAAAAATTAGCAATCATTCGCTAGGATTAGTTCAATCGAGTGGGTAGAATACACAATTAGGACTGTGACAAATAATTGTGATTGTACTGTAACATTGAGGAGTTGACCCAAATATGTCAGTTGATCTTCACAAGCTCATCTCAAAGTATTTGTTTCTATATCTCTCAATCTACGCTTATTAGTCGTCCATTGTAAGTTTTTCATATGCACTTTTTAAACTCATTCGCTTCTGTAAGACAGCCGCGTGATTATATATGACCACATCTTTCTTAAATGAACCTAAGAATAATGTTGAATACCTAACCAACACCCACTCATAACTTGAAACTGATTTCCGAATTAGTGGTTGTTTGGGCCAAACTATTTTACTAAGTAATAGATACTCAGAGTTCTTGTTTGGTAGGATTTGGGCTTCGTTTTTAAAGAGGGGATTTTTCTACCGTAGCAAGATACTATATACAACCTTTTGATATCAGCAGCTTTAGGATTTTAAAGTTGATAAATTGGGTATTTATTAGCTAATTGCACCTTACCCACCGCTGATGTAAATGATATAGGTTTAAACTATCTAGCGTTATTTTCATGATCTGCGATTGTTCGTGACTTTGGATCTTTAATTTATATAAGAATCCATTCAATACTAAATAGTGATAAATACGTGTATCCGACAGCAAGTACGTGTGTAATTCGGAGTCATGTCATCAAAACCTAACCACTGATCACAGTCATCACATGAATCTCAAACAGGTAATCTGCATTTATCAAAACGGCTCAAATTAAAGACTTTTGTAAGTACTGAGGACTCCGGTGTTCATAACATCCTTATGGGTTGAAAGTCTTCTTCATCTAACAGCTGCTGGAAGTTTTTTTAACTTACCTGGACCATTCTTACTAAGATGCCTTATGGTTGAAAAACTGCGGTCGTTGGCACGACAAACAGTCATCATATAGTTACTGAATGCTAAACACAAAACTTAGGATATTAGTTTAAATAGGTGATTACTACAGAAATTTTAACCATCTTTCTACGTTACCTAGCTGCTGAATATCAATTCAAATAAGCGGATGTCCAGAAGAAACTACTGGTAAGAAGCTATAGGTCTCTATTTAAAAGACCCACAAACGACTGTAAAAGAATGTATGGTAGTGTTCTCAGGAAGCTCACTGTATTGTGTAAGGAGGCGCGGTAGGCTTCAAGTGTTTAAACCTCTTACAGATCCCTACATGGTGTATGGAGTAATTATCGGGGCGTAAGTCTATTTATTACCAGTTGCATTTAGAATGCTGGCTACGGTAATATTCAGTAAATTGTGCAAAACTCGTACATATCATAAGCGATCGGTGGTCCGGCTAGTTTTCTTATCTTGGATGTGTTCATCATGTTTCGTTGCTTTTAGGTGACCTGATACTGCCATACATCAGGTTTGCCTTCAGCCGGTTGGACAGGAATGTAGTCTGGAATTATTTATTAAAACTGTGTTAGTGATCTTTATTCAGGCGCACTTCAGTAGCTTAAAAGCATACAACCACCTCTTTGCACTGTCATAAACTGACGTTAGTTAAAGCCATAACATATATAGGTACTTTTACTTATCGTTAATTGAACATTTCCATTTTCTATTCACTTTATCTAGTTACAGATCACCAATTTGATTGATAATACATTTGGATATATTTAATAATCACATTAATATGCTCACCTAAAACTGATAAATTGTTTTATACATATAATATTATGCTTCATGTTTACGATACGAACAATGATGACAACAGTGGTCATCCTAAACCTTCAAGAAAAAATCAGCTGAATTGTCATGGCATTTTTGTAACCAGTGAAGATTTAAATAATTCACGTAAGCTTCCTTTTTATATTGATTAAATATTGGATTCTAGTAGATAATTCAGACGTTTTTGAATATCTAGTCATTATTAGTCGAAAAATCAGAGGGTTTTTATGATATGACTCGGAATCAACCAGCTATGTAGATCCGTATACCATTTTGCAAAATAATAGCACCTTGGCTTAGACGTTGTCATAAACTTCTCACACATTGCTATTACGCTAGTCAAAGTTACGCAGCGAGATAATGAAGTCATCATGTACTGCTGTTGTTATAGCTGATCTAGTTAATATTTGTCTGAAGTATATTCAGAGACTTGGATGTTTTCGTATCAAGGTCACTGCTTAACCTCATCACTAATTACTTGATAACTCTAATGCTGGTAAGAGATCCTAGTGATTGTATTTGTAATCTAAAATATATAGCCTTGCTTCATTTCCCTTCAAGTGTATTATCTTACAAGTTCCAAAAAAATACACTTCTGTTCTGAATTGCACATTTCAGTCGGAGGTGTCATATATACGAAAAGTATTGATAGTTAAAATACACTTTAGATTTACATTAGTGAGCCGTTGCTTCAGGACTGGCCTGCGTCAACATCTGAACTAAGGATAGGGAGTAAAGTAGTCGAACGCGTCGACAACTTCACTTATCTTGGAAGTCTAATCAGCCATAATGGGTTGGTACCTGACGAAATCTCAGCACGGATTCAAAAAGCTCGTTTGCTTTTGCCAACTTACGTCACCTATAGTGAAGGCGAGATATTTGTCTACCAATAAAGGGACGAGTATACTGCGCAGCAGTTCGTTCTGTTCTACTTTACGGCTGCGAAACGTGGCCATTAACAGTAGAAGATACTCGTAAGCTATTAGTATTTCATCACAAATGTCTTAGAAATATTGCCAATGTCTTCTGGGATCACCGGGTAAGTATATGTGAGGTCAGATGCAGGGCATTAGGGAATGACGGTAAATAAGTTGAGGTTGCAGATCTTCACCGATTGAGATGGTTGGGCCATGTGTTACGTATGCCTGAACACCGATTACCACGACGTGCAATGCTGAATAGTGTTGGGAATGGTCGGAAGAAAGGGGCGGCCAAACCAAAACGTGGCATCAGTCCATAAAGTAACTGACTTCTAGTTTGAGCTGCTGCTTCCAGCTCATTAGCACGCCCCGACCACAAGGTTTCTCGGTCCTTACGCAAGCTTCGCTCAATTTCATTACTTAACAGTCGTCGTTTGTGGTCAAACTCAGGGTTACCCGGAGTAGATCGGCGGGCTTCAATGAGTTGTAAGGAACCAGAAGAAACCTAGTGCTTATAAGCGGGACGTTTCGCGAAGCCTCAAGCGGCTTTACTCGCCATTTTGATGGCGTCTTGAAGTTGCAAACAATGCTCATTTAGACTTTTCGGTGGAATGGTAGATAGCCTAGAAGCTAGCTCGGTTCTATACTTAGTTGCAACCAACTTGCTGACATCAGTCCTTTAGTGGCGGTCATTTCGTTGGCCACTGAAAAGTAAGGTAAGATTGGCGCAGAGCAGGGCATTATCAGAGTCTAGATAGGTACTCCAAAAGGAGCGGCAGTCTTGTACACAACCATACCGGCGGTAGCTGATCGCGATGTGATCAATCTGAGTCCAGGCTTGAGATGCAGAGGGAGAACGCCAGGTGGCATATCGGCGATGACTGTGCCGAGAGTTAGTGCTAGCCAGAAACAGCTCGTGGTCTATGCACAGTTGCAGTAGGCGGTTTCCGTCATCTGTCCTGCGACCAACAAGTCCCCATCGGACACCTAAACGACTCTCTTCTGTGCCTAGACGCTCGACCTGAGCATTCAAGTCTCTGGCTAGTACTACAATATCTGTCAAACGCACTTTCTGGAGAAGAACAGATAACTGGTGGTAAAACTCATCCCTGATTGCATCCGGGCTGCAATCTGTCGGGGCATAGGCGGAGATGACGAAAAGACATCGTTTCTCACGCCGATTTCTTCTCACTTTGATGGAACTTCCTAATCTAACAGCACATAACCGACTGTTACTGGGGATCCAATCGACTAGTGCTGCCTCAGCTCTAGGGCTTAGTGCGACACCAACGCCAGCAAGACCAGACGAAGATGCCACAGGGTCCCCGGATAAGCGCACGTAAAACAAGCTTTTCGAAGCGACAGATGAAGAGCGAATTTGTAGTACTTCACTAGTCTTGAATACGGGTATCGAATAGACAGCAGACATCGATATGAAGACTTTCCAAAGACATAGCCAGCCCTATCTGTTGTCCAACCTGCATAAGTATGCGAACGTTGAAGGCAGCCAGTTTGAATGGTGCATATAGTTTCAGAAAAACTGCTTCAGTACTCATATTCGGTGGTAACATACAACTTTCAACCGGACAGTGACTCGAGAACGTTTACATACAGTCGGATTTCCACCAAAGACGAGCCGCTGTAGAAGTCGAAAAATAAGGATACATAAAGTGGGAATAAAAGAGAGTGAATAAATTACGTAGTAAATAATAATAATAATAATAATAATAATAATAATAATAATAATAATAATAATAATGTGAATTGTTTGACTGTAAATCGAAGGGAGAATAGAGTTTTCAGTAAATACCACCATTTTCATTATCCTTATATTTGTGTGTGGGCTGTGATACTGCCCGGGTGCCCAGACCGAAGCAGGTAGTTTTCTCATGGGGCTACACCGAGCTGTTGTTGTAACTTTGACCGATGCATATATGTACCTGACCCTACGTTGTAGCTGACTGACTGGCTGACATTAGTGAGCTCTACCTACACCTTCACTGACTACAGCTCTAATGACGAAAACTTTGACTTTCATAAGAAGCTTTCTGACCAAAAGTTAAATAATCAGATGTAGTAATGGCAGTAGGCGATTTCAATATACAAGTGGGTAAGTTAATCTAAACCGAAAACACTTAATCGGGTCTTACGATGTTCTTACCCAGCGAACATAACGGCTTCTGTCTAATACAGCTGTTCTCAGGCAATAATTCATATATAGTAATCACCAACTTTAGACATAAATAGACTTTTTTAAATAGCAATTCCTGAAATCGATTCAATGATGGATGCAACTAGACCATATCACCATCACCTATCGATGGAAGACTTCGATTCGTTCTGCAACACACGTCTCAGTCAGTCACAACGTAGAACCTGTACGTATGTACATCAGTTCAACTTGCCAAAACCCCTTTAGCACACCGAGATAAAGTTGTCAGGCCAAATCTCAGAATAGTAGAGGCAGTAACAATATCAGTGGTAATAAGGAAGATTGGGCATCGAAGGTACAACTGGAAAAGGAAATGTAAATTAGCAAAATAAAAACAAATGTTATGAGGAGTTTGTAATCTCAGGATTTGGGGGAAGACGAAGAATGATAAACCTGCGCCATTGCAAACGACTTCGAACAATGTCATTCAAAGTCTCTAACCATAGGTTTCGATGATCACGCGGCTCCAAACCAGGCAGTCTGCACTCATTGACATGGCTAAGTCCAATTATCAGTGACTTCATGGACTGATGCCATGTTTTGGTTTGATCACCACTGGCTTCCAGCTTACTACTACACCATACAGCATCGCCCGTCGAGGTAGGCCGTAGTTGAGCATATATAACATATCCCAACCATCTCAGTTGATGAAGATTTACTACCTCATCAATCGATTTACCATATTTGGCTGGTACTATATTCCTAACCCAGGCACTGCTTAATCTGTGGGCCAAAAGCACACAAGCAATGCTTCGAAGACACCTATGAGTGAATACCAGCAATCTACAAATATCCTCTGTTCTTAATGTCCGTTTCACACCCATAAAGTAGGACGTTGATTCCTGCTGAGCAGTAAACTAGTCATTTGTTTGGCAAATGGATATCTCACCTACACCACAAGTGACACAAGTGGGTGGAGGCCAATCGAACCTGCTGACTCCATGCCGATATTTTGTTAGACACTAGACCATCTGTACTGATGAAACGCCTAAGACAAATGAAGAGATCAATGCGTTCAATTACTTCACTCTCTACCATTATTTCAAGCGGTGACCCAAACCAATGCTGAAATAAAATTTTACATTTAGAGGGAGAGAACCGCATCCCAAACATGTTTGCATTGTTGCTTACAGTGATCAGAAGACTGCATTTGTCAGCGACTTCACCAAACAGAACTATATAATCTGCGTACTACAAATTAACAAGTGAATCTGCTGGTAGAAGATTAATTCCTGAAAAGCCGGACGACCAAAGTGTTATCTCTAAAAGCATGTCCATGACAAAGTTAAGTAAATGTGGGGAAAGCAGACAACCGTGACAAACTATACTTGAAGTAACTAATTCCGATGACAGTTCGCCATAAGGTCTGACTCCACTAGTAGTGTTCGATTAGAGGGCCTGTACAGGGTTAATGTACTTTTTTGGTAAGTCTTTCAATGACAGGTGTTGCTACTGAACCTCACGATCAACTCAGTCGAACCCCACCTTTAGGTGAAGGAAAACAACTATATTTGGATGTCTGTGTTCCAAAATTTGCCTAAGGGTGAATATTTGCTCTATTCATCGACATCCAGGTCTGAAATAATTCTGGTTTTCTTGGGTTTGCTCTTTTCAAGCTTTAGTCAGACGTCGAAATATCATTTAGGTTAATATTTTAGACATTATATTAGTTAAATTGATTCCTCCGTGACTGTCACAGGATGATTTTCGTCTTTTCTTATGAAATGAGACGATCATTGATCGAGATCAGTCATATAGGATTACATCCAGTTCCCAGATTTCAGGTAATCTGACTGCCAAAACTGAACCACCATCCTTAAAAATCCCGGGGGTTCGTCCATCAGGCCCTGCTACTCTCCCTCACTTGAGATTATTTATAACCTTTTCAACCCCACTAATAGTTGAAGGACTTACATCAGTTTGCCATTCGGGTTGCTTGGAGATAGTGGGTAACTGAAGTGTTTTTGAGGACCAATTGAACTGTTCCCTAATGTGTTCTGCCCTTCGGTTCAATCTACTGGACTGAGAGTGAATAATAGTCCCATCTTTTTCCGAGATACTTTCACTAACAGCCGCATTTTTAATACCCTTTGTGGATATCATCCCAAGCTACCTCGGGTTGGGTGTCATTTTCACGGTAGACTGGCTCCTTCTCTAGTTCCTGAAATATTTTCTTAACTTTTTTTCATAATTACTTTGGGCTCTAAGGAGTGTTCTCACTGCGACTTTTCTATGTCTAGTAAGTCGCAGACAATTACGTGCTCGAACTAGTGTGTGATCCATGTGCATACATGTGCTTTATGATGAGCGACAGTTTTCAATTGAGCTCCTCTAACGATTGCTAACGGCAGTGTGGTCTGTTTGAGTCGATTGTAGAGGTCGTCACGTCAGTTGATGTTTCTCCTTGTGTTTTCCAGAGGTAAATGGTTATCTAAAGGTATTTACAACAGACGGTCTCCATTATCTGTCCGCTGAGCCTTAACACCGTAATATGCGCCTAATTGTCTTTGGGTTTGATTTAGTTTACCTATTTTTGCATTAAAACCACCTGACATTACTAATAAATCAGAGCATTTAACCTTTTGAAGGAAGTTGGACAGTTTCCTATAAAATTCATTCTCAACTTCGTAAACAGATACGAAGAAAAGGCAGCGGCGTGTATTCCTATCTTTTTGAGTCCTTACTGTCCCGTTTGGTCGGACAGTGCACAAGCGATTGTCTATTGGAACCTGTTCAGCTTCCGAATTCAATTCTGTACCCACACCATCGAGTCTACAGAAAGTACCAGTGGAGTCTCTAGATACTCAAAAGGTAAATTGTGCCCGTTCTCTATATTGACAAGATCAGGCCAAATGAATGACCGTAATTGAGTCCTGTACATGCGTTTCGTTGATACAACATACATCGATGGCCCGAGATTCCAGAGTCGTGGCCGAAGAAACCTGTTTTCCTACCGGACACAAGGTCCGGACTCTAAAAGCTCCAACATGTAGTTTAGAGCGTGGTTTCGGGAAACCAAGAGCAACATTTCGTGAGCGCAAACCACTAGAATTAGTGGCGCGTGGTTATAAAGATAAATGAGAAGAGTTAATCTTGCGGATGGGAGAATTATTAAGGGGTGAGAGAGGGATTCAATTGCCAACAAGATGATCTCGGGTGCTGACAGGGGTATGAGAATGGTTTTCCTTTCCCGGTCGCCCACATCTTGGAAAGATATTTCTTCTTGAGGGACTTGAAAAAAAGCTGAACTCATCGTGGTCTCAGTGACTTGGGAGCGTGACCGCAGAACTCAAGGAACAACTGCTTGGAGCTGGTTGTGCACAGCCTTGTTATGGTAGGTTTTTGATGTATTAGCTCCACACTTTAAAAGGCCTTACCGTCGGAAATGGAAATTCATGGAGTAAGGTGAGGTGTGACATTTTCAGGGTCGACCTTTTCTAACCTCTTTCTTCCTCTATGGGAAGGCACCTTCGCTGGAGATGTTGATTGTCCGAGGGAATCACCTTACTGCCGTCACACTTCTCTATAGTTAGCAATATGACTCCGCTCTCGGTCCTCAATTTTCTGCGTTTAGTCTTACGGTTCTTCAACCGACCTGTCTGATGTGGTAGAATCTAAAGGAACACTTATTCCAACTAATATTGCTCAGTTGAGTCATCTTGATAGGCAAGCTCAAGCACCACGTCAAGGTAACAGCTACGGTCGGGAACACATATCTAGACTATGATCATGTTTCAGGGCGAGTAAGAGTTTGTTTATCTTACTAGACTGAGAAAGACCACTTAGAGCCCAACTGAACAAAGAAAATGTCAAATATATATTTCAGGAAAATGTACAAAAATATTAATCGATTTTGAAAATGATGTTCAATCTGACTTTCATCTATTTCTTTGTTCAGTTTTTTTTCTCTCTCTGTTTTCACTTCCTTCTGCCTTAAACAAACTGAACTTATTCATTTGTAGATACGTATGCTCTTGTTATCATATGCATAGTTTATTTATTATTGTTCATATCAAATTTGATTTTAGTCCAAACATTGTCATCTTCAGTTGGTTCGCAAAAAATTTATTTGAAACCTTTACCTAACGAAAATGATATGTTAAATTCTAGACTATTGAATGATGATAAGAAACGATTACCAAAAGTAGGTGATCTTTTTTTTCATTCTTTACTGATTTGTTTGTTTGTTTTTTTTATTTTGATCTGTATAAGAAAACATGTCGTTGAGATGGTGGAGAAGATTTGTAGCTCAGGTGGATGATTTTGGTGGAGTTTTGTTCTCTGAGCTGGATGGTTTGGTCGTGGAGCTTTCATCGTTCTTCTGAACGACATCATCAGCACAAACTTCAGATGATGAAAGCTCCACGACCAAACCATCCAGCTCAGAGAACAAAACTCCACCAAAACATGTCTTTATACATACTGAGAAATAACCAAGGATTAGTTGAATGTATTTGTTTATTAAGAATTCTTCCATATTAAATTTTCTTTGATATCACTAGTTCTAACGAAGTCCTGCATACTTTTTAGTTGTGAAAAGGTGATGTGACATTGTTTCCCTTAGATATTGAAAGTGGGTCTTGAAAGTGTATAACCTGATTTTTAGTGTATGTATAAGGTAATTGGTAAATGTAGTAGTATATTGTAGTACCATCTTTTATAAAAGCAAGTTCTAATTACAGTATGAAGAACATAATATAATGAACTTCTTACACAATCATTATGAGTTTGATCTAATATTCAAAGCCTAAACAAGGTGACCAGTCAAGATGATTCAGTTTTTCACTAGTTCTATATAATTTGGGTTGTATATTTTTATCATTTATGTCCTTTACTCCTGGTGGAGGAGCATAGACCACCCACTAGCATTCTCCATTAAACTCTGTCCTGAACAATTCTTTCCAGTCGCTATTCATCCTTTTCTTGTCTGCTTCCAATTCCCAACACAATGTGTTCCTTGGTCTACCTCTTTTCACTTTCCCTTCAGGATTCCAAGTTAGCGGTTGCCTCATGATGCAGTTTGATGATTTCCTCAATGTATTGTCCCATTCACTTCTAACGTCTTTTCCTAATTTCCTCTTCAGCTGGGAGCTGGTTGGTTCTCCCCCATAGTAGGCTGTTGCTGATGGTCTCAGGTCAACGAATATTGACTATCTTGTGTAGACAATTGTTTATAAATGCTTGTACTATTTTGATGATGGTTGTAATAGTTCTCTAAGTTTCAACTCTGTACAATAGAACTGTGTTGACGTTCGTATTGAAGATTCTGACTTTGATGTTTGTTGGCAGTTGTTTTGAGTTCCATATGTTCTTCAACTATAAGAATGCCTCCTTTGCTTTTATTTTTATCATAGTAAACGTTTAATCCATCAAATAGTATCTCTAACTTTAATAGTAAGTAATTTTTGATTGAACCCTCGTATATTCACTCATTTGTTAATGTTTTTACATGAATTATGTTTCAAGATAATCAGCAATTAACTCAATAGAATTAAGATCTTTAGTTGACACTTATTATAATGATAAATGATTGATATCTATTACTTGACCCTGTAAACTACACAATGCAAGATTGAGCATGGAGACGATCAATAAGAATTCATTTGATACCAAGACTAAATCAAAAGGATATCTGAGTATACTGATTAACAGTCAGATTTGTATGCATTAACTGAGTAGTGCTTGACATTAATTAATCAATCAATAATTTATTATATAATCACATATTTACATGATCATAAAACTAGATATCCCTTCTTAAGATGTGACCTACATGTTCAAGATGCTTGAAAAATAAACAAATCAATTTTGTATCTCATTTACACTGTAATCAATTAACCCCTTCCTCATTATATCATATACAAAGATACTAAGTCACTAACAAAAAAGAAAACATTGTCATATTAAATATGATCCATTAGTTCAACACATCAGAACATTATTACATAACATCACAATAAATGTAAAGGTTAGTGTTACTAGTCAATACTGTTATATGATAGGAGAAGAAATATACATCAACACTTGAAACCTATTTCATATACAATGATGGATAGTGGCTAGCAGTGGAATCCAGGACGCGCGTTTCGTCCTATTTGGGACTTGTCAGCTGAATGTACCTGCATCTCAGAGTTGATATTCACTCTGGGACTTGAACCCAGTACCATTCGCTTCAAACGCCATCGCGTTATCTACTCAGCTACTGAGTCCTGATAGCCACTTGTTTGTGCAATGGAGTGAATTTAAATTCACTTGGTATTGTTTGGCTTGTATCATCCCATTGAGGTTTAAGACTGCAATTGATCAGTCTGAATAACTTCATTAGGTTTTACTCTTTTGAAATAGTTTAATTCACTAAGATTATGTCATAAATGAAATGAAATCAGATGTTTCATATTTTCTAATAATTTAATCATCAAATATAAATGAAAAAAAGTATTGAGGCGTTGTGACCATTCATCTTGGACAACTACAGTGAAATTGAATATTTGAATCTTACTTTACCTAATTTACCACAAAGGCAACTCGAAAGAATGACATGTTTTCAAGTTAGAGATGTATAACTCAAGAGTGAATATATGAACATTGTATTCGGTTATCAGCACAAGGATTATGGTTCAAATTGCTGTGATAATGAGTTGAAGTACATTAGTATTTAACCGGGTTAGTGGAAATGTAGAGTCCACCTAGGGGAGTTGAAATACCCTCATACCAAACCAATGGTGCACATGAACTCCAGCATCCTGAAGGAACAAATGGCGTATAAACCAATCGTTGGTCACCGGCTACCATGGGATTGCATCTCCTTACGATGCTCCACTGCCTTGTGGATCAGACCTTCAGGTCGAAGGCTCCGGGTGTGGCCCCCTGAGAAAACCACCTGGTTCGGTTTGGGCACCCGAGCAGTTTCACAGCCCTCACACACATCAGATGAGATTTTTGTGGCGCATATGTATTTGGTGCCTCCTTGTACCAATATTTATGTGTTGAAATAAATAAAATAATAAAGTATTTAAAAGCTGGTTATGATCGCGGGATTTCGAAATTATTTTACATCTAATGAGTTAAAAGCCCTTATAAATTAAATATCATTTCGTAAAAGAGGCAATCAAATCTCTTATAGTTTGGTCATTGTAAGAAGTTTATTGAGTTATCAGTTTTCCGATCCTAGTATCTTAGGAATATCACTGCATAGTTAGCTGCATTATTCTACGTGTGAATTTATTCATACTAAAGATCTCTCTCTTTGAGTCTTTTTCACAACCATGAATACTTTATCACAAAATTTTTAGTATTAAATTCTCTGAAAAGTTACGGAGGTGAACTTACTAGGGAACTACCATTGTCACTATATTGATACTGCGATGTAATGCGTAAAAGTTTTTACTCATTTCAGCATTCTTAATTCATCAGGTCGGTTATTATTATTATTATTTACTAAACCACTAATAAAATGAATTGTGTTTGAGTCTACCATAAACAAAGTTAGTTGAAAGAAGAAATGGTTAATTTACACTTTCAGCAAAAACTTTATTAAAAGGAAATTGTTTTTACCAGTATGGGGTTGTGGAGATTGTTAAGTTTTTGATTGAGATCATGAACTGATTGATGTGAGGTCATCATTGAAAACCTGGAAGCACTAGACAGCCGTTTCACCCTATTGTGGAACTCCTAAGCAGTGCTTATCCATGTACGGGATCGTGTTATTCTTTAAGACCGTAAAACTGCTTGAATTATTGATTATTTAAATTAGAAATTCGCACACTTTATGATTCATTTCAACTTTGTGAAATACTGATCAATATACATGATAGTTAGTGACTAGCTAATTATGTAATCCAAACTGCACGTTACACTTTATTTGATAGCATCAAAATAAAATTAAAAGCTTATTTCTATTCACATTTCATTTTTACACTGATTATTACAAATACCATAACGTTATCCGTCGAACTATCAAGTTACAATAAATAAACAGTTTTGGTTGTGGATTGTTGTTGGTCTTAACCGTATGATACATTGGGTAGCTGTTACTTTGACACGGTAGTCGGGTTCGTTTATTATGGTGACCTAGTCAAGCTATGTTGGCTGGAACACTCGTTCTTGTAGGTGCTACTGTAACAGTTAGATCAGTTAGAAAATGTTAATACCAAAAGCAACGAACGGATGGTTAGGGAAAGAAGTCGTACTGTTGACTGCTCGGGAGTATGATAACGATGAGGTGTTCCCCTCAGGAAACTAACATCTACACTTATGCTGCATTCTCACAGAGGAAGTGGAACTATTGAAAAGGTCAGCCCTAAAAATAGTATGCCATCAAACTGCACCAATTTTCGTCACCGGATACGAGGCCTATAAAGTATGGGCTTACCATATCAAAAACTACTTTCGAAAAGGCCATGTGTGACCGGCCTCAGGCAGTTGCCCCTTGGATACTGCGGTTACAGTCACAGGTCATCATGACCACTCCTAACCCAATTTTGTCTCTAGATACTTCCGTGATGTAAGCGACCGAACGAGTGACAACAACTCTAATACCTCAAACATCACTAAAGATCGTTCACACTAATACAATATAGTTCTTGTAAGTGTAATTATCCCTTCTGTTTGAAGTTTATTCCATTAATAGTGTCATGAATTGTTATTTTCTATCTTAAATACTACCTATCATCTATATGATTGATAAGATTTTAGTATTTCTCCACAAGGTTGTTTGCGTTCTGCACCAAATAAAGTAAGTTAAAAAAAAAACAACTAAGGTTTGTCTTGTATGCATCGATTTTTCACAATGTTTCCAATCAATTGAATTGTAATGCATGTATTTCGCTTACACTGCTAATGTGTTACTCAGGTAATAAACATTTTTTTAAAAGAGACTATTTTAAACAATTGTATTCTTGGTTTTAATATAATTTCAATCTAACTGTTAGTGTAGCGAACAAGCACAAGTACAATTTTCCAGTAAATTCTATGTTAATCGTTCCTTTAATCTTAATGATATAGTCCAGTGATCGACTATGTTAATATATGGGATTCTTTTCAAACACACAAACAACCCGTTATATAAAGGAACTGCATAGTAAGAAATATTGAAGTAAAACACAGGATTTGTGGTATGAAGTGCGAATCGATTGGTGGTGATGT